TATGGAATGTTCTGATGAGATTTTTCGTATGAACATCCGTACAAAATGTTACCAGCGTCTGGCCAGCTTAAGAGGAAATTTCACTGATTTTTGGAGCGATTTCCAAAAAACAAAAAAAAATGTGGCCGGGGTTTTAACCATTTCACACTCTATCCAATAAAACGTTTTGGCTTTAGATATACTTTAAGTATAAAATAAGGTGAGAAAAGTTTTGCCAGGATACCTTTAAGGGGTCTTATAACCCAGTGGAAATGAAAGAAAGCCAAACAAGATATAGGCACTTACCTGCTTGCATGTTGTCCTAGCTGGAAATAAAGCACTGGACAGGAAGTCACATCTTTCTATTCTGAGTGGAAGTAACAGTAATATTTTTGAAATACTTGAAGCTCAATATTACAGGTTGTTTAACAGTTTTGATAGCACCTGCCTACTTTTTTACATAGCCCTTTGAAGAACATGTTGACTACTTAAACTCCTGGTGGTCAACCTGTGGCCCAGGGACCTCCTGCGGCCCACTGACACTTAGTGCGGCCCTTTAGGGCCCCTGCAGACAGTGGTCTGTTTGTTGCCTACTCCTGCCAGTGAAGGAAAGGTATTTTTAGACTGACTTCTAGTAGTTTAATATGGTTTGTTTATTTCACCCTGTCTTACTTTATTCTATATTGTCCATCCCATTTCTAGTTTTCTGTTTTGTTCTTTCCCTCTGATCTTTTATAATGGATCTTGCTGAAAGAAATATCAAATGTGACATAAGTAATTTTTAAGAGGGCTTTAGGGAGCACAATAGTTGAAGCATTGACTTGTAAAGGGGCTGTAATAGCAGTGTTCTCTATGAGTCTCACGTAATGTATCACCAGTCTATGGCCGTCTCCTGAAGCATGTCCCCAGACTCCATCAGCTCCTATAGCATGTGTCTCTGACCATCTTTTGTTGCATGTCTGCAGTCACTGACAGCTTACTGTAGCATTACATTCACTGAATATTATGTGCAGCCTTTTGTAATGCCAGGGGCCCCACTCGAGGTCCCCTATATCGAGCAAATTGACCACCACTTAACCGATTCCTTTTTTTAATGGAGCTTACAGATGTTTAACCCCCAGATCCAGAATTCTAAAAATAATGGAAGGGCTCGGTCAGTGACATTAGATGATGATAGATAGGATAGGAAGGTCACATTGTTTTTTGTACATCCTGCGTTTGGTCCCCAGCTTGTTACTGAGCCACTGTGGCAAATACTTGACCAGCTCAGAAAGCTAAAAGGTATCACATACACCTTTTGGGCTTGGACTGGTCACAGTAAGTATCCATGACCTTAGCTCCAAACTGTCAATCATTTGCAGGAACTATCCCTCCTTTGGAACCAAATTCCCCTGTCCCTTTTTTATCCTCAGATGTCCTTCATCACAAGTCCAGTCCATAGTGGACACCTAAACAATGAAACTGGTGTTTCTGTCTCCTAAACCATAATAGCCTCAAATAACAATGAATGTACTTTGGGTCTCCTAGGCATATTCTGATGGCATTGGGGTGCCAAAGGCTTGTGTCCAACAAGGCACAATATTGTAAATACGCCACTGCCTATTTAGGATAAAGCAATAGATTCTCTTGATAGACTACCTCTTTTGGTGGTAATGATTACCATCCCTGTGTTTCCACACTGCCCTGAACTCTCGCCAGAGCCATGAGTAGAGGTGCTGTTAACATTTTCTGCCAGGCTTTGTTTGAGCTTACAGATCACAAAGGACCTGTCCCCTGTCCTTGCATGGTGCATGGCCATTCAGTGGGAAGACAAAGACCAAGGACTCTGGCTGGATAAAAATAAAATAAAAGGGCAGCAGAGGAGTGAAGTTAAGTATTATTAGCAGAGGAGGTAGGCTATAAAGAGAACCTGTTATTTTGCCCCAAATGAGCATGAAGCTGCATACAGTATTGACCCCACCAGGAATCTGGTGTGGGCACGGCCTCAAATCAAATCAACAACAGCCAAGCAAGCACTGTATTAAATTATATCATTACCCTGAATGATCATCAAAGTACTTCAACTGACAGCATGTTCTTGTGCATCTCTCACTGGACTCTGTATAACATCAACAGTGCTATTGCTGCAGTGTACTTGGCAAAGTATAACCATGATTATAAGTGAGTGAACTGGAGCAGAACAGCTGAAGATCTTCAGGGCAACCAAAGCAGAGTAGTGCCAATGGGGCTGGAGGGGTCCCGGGAGCAGTGTGGTAAGGGTAGAGCAGTAGGGGATGGAACAGCGGGGGATCTAGGTATACTATGATCAGTATAATAATACATCTTGAGTATCCCTTTAGCAATGCACATAGAAGCATACAAACCAAGTCTAGAATGCTTAGGGTTATATTGAATTTTTAGGTAGCAGGGTTGCCTAGGGTTTTACAGCACCATCTAGAATCCATGAGATGGTAGGCAGTGCTCTTTGCACTCATGCATTATAAGGCTTAAACCCACCATGTCACTACAATAAAAAACAATATGTTGCAGCCTGTAGAAAAATAGGTTTTTATCCCTATCTTTCCAGAATAAAATGTCCTCTTTGTAGAGGTACAGGTTCTGTTGGTATAGGACACACAGCTCTTCCAGAAAGTGAAGAGTTCACCCATAGCATTACCTTGTCCCTGCTGGCTGCTGTGGTTCCCCTGCTGGCTGCTGTGGTCCCTCCCTGTGGCCACTAAATCTCTAAAGGACACAGTAGTGACATAGCGGATAGTGGGATGAACCACAAAGCCCAGTGGGGAGCATACATTAACACTACATATGAGCTACCATTACTGGTCACCTTCTGAAAATACCAGTTGACTGAGTGTTATGTTGATCCTCTGCATTCTGTACATTCTGCCTCACAGACCCACAGTCAGCCCACCAGCCACACAGCTTGCATTTTCAGAAGATCAACAGTGATAGCCTCCATAGCTCACTTATGTCATGTTTGATGTGGGCTGTAATGTCCATTTCCTTTTAATAGGAATACCATCATTAAGTTATAGCATAAAGGTAGAAGCCGGCATCAACATCTTGATAATGGATAAGAGGAATTTTATATATCTGGAATGTACATTAACCATTAATGTTCTTGTATCATGTGTGAACGGCATCTGGCTATTTCATGGTGACTGTGTAATATGCGGGTGTTCATTATCTCTGCCCTCTGCTGCCGAATGTGGTTTCCGTGACATTGGCCGTTAGCACGCCATAGCTACTTATTGTGTAGTGGGTTTTTTTTCTCAAAAACCTCTTTGATATTGTGATACCCAGGGGGAAGCAGGTCAGGTGCCAGCACATTACTCAACGCTCATTAAACTGGTTACACTGATTAGTACTCAGTACCACTAATTATCAGCAGCAGCATCTGTTACTGCTTTGGCTTTGTAGGTAAGGGTCTATCAATAAAGACACAGAGAGGAGGAAGATTAAAAAAAGACTAGGAGAAATGGAAAACTGAAAAGAAGTAAGACTTCAAGAAAACTAAAGCTGGCCATATACAATTCCTGTAAATCGGGCAAAACTTGAACCATGGGTGGCCCCACTGGGCAGAAAAGTGTCACCTGAACAGTGATTGCACTTGCAGTCACTGCTTGGACATTCAACCAAATGTGCTCCTGTGGTAACCTGTACTGAGGACAAAACTCAGAAGCTAAGGACAAAGGACTGCTGGATTACAGGTCCTCCAATATGACCCACACCAGTAGGTAGAAGATCCTCTGCTTCAGGTCACCTCAACACCTTTCTGAGCACACTCACCCGAATTTGGTCAAGATTTGTGCACATGTTGGGTGAGAGTAATCAGAAAGGCAGATACATATTCAGGAGTAATTGTTTTATACCTACTGGAGTGATTGAGCTATTGGAATTCAGTATTGATTCACTTCTCAGTAATGATTTGGGAGTCGTTTCTGAATGTCAAATTCACTTAGTCAATGCACATGCAATAGATGTGGGGTGGCTGTGCATGAACAATCTGACCACTGTGCTGAGTTTTTATGTATAATCATCATCATGCAAACACGCAAGCTTGCATTAGATGAATAACATCCAGTCAGAGCAATAAATGCCATCCAATGCATTCTCCTTCTGAGCTGGATCAAACATTTTTCACTCTAACCAAAGCCAAAAAATAAAAAAGTTCTAGGTGGAGTTACGCTTTACAGCTGTAAAGTGTTTTTCTTTTCTCTGTCCATCCAGTCCTAAGATGTGCACAGCCCAACCACACAGTACAGACCTGTCTGGCAGAGCAGAGGACATGATTTGTATCTACTACAGACAAATTACACTTAAAGGATTTGTCCATTCCCTAATCCTCTGACTGATGTATTAATTCCACTGTCACTCTTTTCCCTCCTTCTATCAGAATGACATGAGCACTGCAGTAAAAGTGATAGGGTCCATGTGTTGCTTCTCCCTCCCACAGTTTGACTTCCATCTGCCTGGAGTTCATATTTTATGTTTCAGAAGCCGGTTTATATAAGGTAGCTTGGAAATATGTTGTGTGAGCTTGCAATAAACAACCCCCGATGCTTCTTTTGTTAGCATAGACATATTGTTCAACTGGACCATATTGTTCAACTGGTGAGTCCATTGTGTTGTCAATGAGGGGTTTTCATCCAGGAACTGAAAATATGTCTATGCTCAGGTTCTTGACTGTTAGAAGAAACCTGGCAGGTGATCAGACCTGCATATACCTAAAGTGTTAGTAAATAGGGTGCATGCATGAAGGTGCCATATTGACCAAATAGTATTCATATATTGGGAGCCCATACGCTTTCATATGTGGCCGAGAAAATGCACCACGTTAAGGAATAGCCTTTGACACTAGTAAGCCTCCAGATGTACAGCCTGTTGGCTGTGGGATTCGCGACAAAGGCTTCATACTTTGTTTCTTTATTTCGACAACGTTAATAATAAAGTCATAATAAATATTTATAAGAAATGTTGATTATATTGATGGCGGTAATTTACTGTCTGTCTATTATTCTAAGGTAATCTGCGGGCCGGAAGACTCCACTGGTGATCCTGATGATGAAGACCAATCAGAAAATAAGCCTCAACCTAGACCACGAATCCCTCGGAGAAAAGCTTCCTCCCCAGCCCGACCTCGTAGTTCCAACCCCTTAAACTCTACGGTCCTTCAACTTCTCTCTAACTCCCCTGAATTTTGGGATGTCTTGAACAGTCTTTCAGATCTTGGTCACAATCAAGAACCTCCAATTCCAGCAAGGGTCCGACGTCAGTCTGTCCTTAGGTCAACCGGAAGAGCAAAGAAAGTCTTTGGTTGGGGGGACTTTTATTCCAATATCAAGACTGTAAAGCTTAACCTCCTCATTACCGGGAAAGTGGTAGACCATGGGAATGGCTCCTTCAGTGTCTTCTTCCTTCATAACTCAACTGGCCAGGGAAATGTGTCTGTCAGTCTTGTCCCACCGTCCAAAGTCCTTGATTTTGATCTGGAACAGCAGATGTATGCCGAAGCAAAGGAATCAAAAATCTTCAACTGCCGCGTGGAGTTTGAAAAAGTGGATAAAGCAATTAAGACAGGTCTGTGTCCTCATGATCCATCAAAGACCTGCCATCAGCAGCAAACTCGTAGCAAGGTCTCTTGGACATGTTCACAACCTTTCAAGATTGTTTGTGTGTATGTCTCCTTTTACACCACAGATTACAGACTAGTGCAAAAGGTCTGCCCTGACTATAACTATCACAGCAGCTCTCCATACTCACCATCAGGATGAATCGAAATTCTAAGTGCTGGTAGCAATGACATAGCCTAGATTGGCTAACTTTGGGTCTACCTTTTATGGACTCCCTGTGCCTTGTTCTGGTCCATTGTGGTGTGTGTACTTGTGGAGAAAGTGGAAAAAAAGATGTGTAAGTGGTGTGCTGGAAATCAACTTGAACAGCTTCAATATACACACAATATAACAGCTATATTGTTATTCCCCCATTGATATGAATTAATGTGTAATCTCCCAGAAAACCTATACAACAGAGTTGAAGACTCACATCAGTTTTTACACTGAAATAATAATTGGTTTCTTCTGTACTAGAACAGACGCAAGATCTCCTGATAGAAAGAGCTTTAGGTGGGCATCATAATGACCCAAATCTCCAGGCTTTCAAAACAACATTAGGAAATACAACATATACTTAATTTCCTGTGAAAAGATAAGGAAGTTGACATTGATTATCAAAATTCACATTTTGACCCATAGTAAAAAGAGAAAGCGTGAGGATATTGTACACAGCAACCAGTCACATCACTCCTTTCTCTAGAGCAGTGGTTTACAATCTTACTACAGCATGATTCCTAAATGTGTGTACATACTGGCAGGTCATCCTTTAGAGTATAGATTAAAATGAATAAACCCCGATCAGTTTTTGATGCAATGTAGTATTTCAAAAGCTAGAATGTATAGCTCAAGACTCAAGAGTCCCATTGAGCTTTGTAGATGACCCCCTTCAACAAGGCTAAGCTAGTCCAATGACTAACGAACCAGTGTACCAAAAATGGTACACCCGGTGTCTGATCTTTTAAAGCGGTGGCTGTCAACTCATAAGGTATTGGGAGCCTACAGGGCAGCCCCTGACATTACTAGGGGCCATGCATAACATTCAGTGGGCCTGTATTTGGTGTGGTTGAACATTGGAGCCAGCTACAAGGGACAGTCTAAGACTTGGGACATGTTACTTGGGATGGCCAATGACTAACGAACCAGTGTACCTAAAACGGTACACCCGGCCCGGTGTCTGATCTTTTAAAGCGGTGGCTGTCAACTCATAAGGTATTGGGGGCCTACAGGGCAGCCCCTGACATTACCAGGGGGCCATACATAACATTCAGTGTGCAACACTACTACAGGCAAATTACAAGAGATGAATAGCGGCTAGGGTCTGTATTTGGTGTGGTTGAAGATTGGAGCCAGCTCCAAGGGACAGTCTAAGATGCTCTCACTCCCCCTAGGGTGTGTGGGTGTCCGAAGGCCACAGGTTTGGCACCAGAGTTTTAGAGCCTCTTCTAGGCTTTTCAGACATTCATCTTGGTTGGTAGACTGAACCTTCTGGTACATGAAGTGTGACTTTCATCTTCCCTGTCCTAGAGGTACACTAATCACAGGTTGGGAAATCCTGCTCTAGAGCAATAATTTAGGCGGTTGCTATAGATAACACATCCTGTTTAATTTCCTTTTGTTTGTAGACTCCAGACATGTTCTAAATTACCACATATGAACACCTAGTTGTCCTGTCAGACTATAAACAGCTTGTTTCTGAAGTTGTGAGATATGTCAATGTTAACTAGTCATCCTGAAATGCAATTAATCAGCCTTCTTTCCATTTGTAACACTTGTTTTCCAGCCAAACTAGAAGATACTACAGGCATGTTTGACTGTTTCAAAGAAAGCTATTACTGTCTATAGTCATCCTATCTCTCATAGATTGTATTCATCACTTGCCAACATTGTAAAGCATAACTCATGATGATATTACCTCAGTCTGTGCTGATGTAAGCTGTGTGGTGCTCTGCCTGTTATAAAAAACACGTTACTATAATACAGTCACATATTATGGCCCACCATGACACCATTAACGTCTCATCTGCTATAGCTAATGTCATTCTGCTCCACTGGGATCTATTTATTAGCTTCATAAGTTAGTGCAAAGGACAAAGGACAATGATTGTGTGCACTGGGTAACCCAAAACAACCAAAATCAGATTCAACTCTACTATAGTCACATGAGGAAAATCTGAAAGCCATTTGGTTGCTATGGATGCAATTTGCACAAAAGCCACAAAGCCTTTTAAAAGATTATTTAATAAAATAGAGTAAATGGTGATGTGCAGTATGGCTACACACCACTCTTTTCCTAAATAAAGAGGAACTTTATCCACCAATTTAATATCTCCCAAAATAGTCACTTTTAAGGCGTACCAACTCTCAAGGTTGCCAGTGTGCTTATTTCGTCTCTCAACCAAACTTTCAAGTCCTCCAATAGGGTGTTTCATAGCTGATCACATGTTCTGCACCATGGCAACTGCAATCCAAATAGAGGCTAAAATGGTGCCTTCCATGGCTCAAAGGGATAGAAGGTTGTAGTTCCGTCTTAAACAACTAACACTAAAAAACCTTTTATTTCTTAATATCTTTATTCAAGATCTACCTGTCCACCACACAGAAAGAAAAAGCCATTTTGTGTGATCCAATATTGGTGACAATAAAGCCTGGTTTAAATGACGACAAACCTGTAGCATCTCCGAATCACTTTAAATGTTCTAAAGGAAAAATTATGAAAACAACCTGATTTCGAGTCCTCCATAAGGTTATGTAAGCAGATCTCACCTCCCACAGACTCCAGTGGCAATCCCAATGGTTCTGCTTGAGAATGATTGGGTTATACGGTTCATCTACAACGTCAATTTTCTCCAACAGGAGGCAAAACCTGTAGCTGTACTTTCTGGCCTCATATAATACAAAGATCTCAAACAAATAGTGGCGTTTCCCATTCCCAAGTCAATCAAAGTGAATGATGGCACCACTATCTATAAAAACGAAATCAAGGGAACTGGATTTACTGTATTTTTTCTTGTCAAGAAAAATACAGCAAGTCTAGTTGCCTTGATTTATTTTTTACAGATATACCATGACCTGGATGAATGAGAACCTTCACAGACCGGTGGCACCATTAGCCTTTTAATGGCTCAAGATGGACACTTTTATGGATCAAAACAACTAAATTACATGACATTAATCATTTTAAAGTGTATCCATGCCCAGACTCGGATTTGCTCTCTCTGCTGTGCCAATGCCAAGTTCCTCAATGCGCCCCCCTGTATGCAGGCTGCATACAAGTGATCTCGGCGACATCGCCAAGATCACTTGTACAAAACAAGCAGCAGGTTCCCTGCTCTACATTTAGCCCTGCTTGCCCAAAGCTCCCTGCTGCCCCGAGGCCAGGCCTCGGTTGGCCTTTTGGGAAATCAGGCCCTGTCCATATCTCAAACCATTTTCTACTTTAGATAGAATGGGGAAAAGTTAGAACCCCTATCAGGTATTCACCACACTATCCAACATTTAATAAAAATAGAGTATGGAAACACTTTAAAGGGATTATTGCCAACCTGGCAAATAACAAACGTCCTGTCCTTGGGTGTCTACGCTCACTCCACTGTATCTATGCCATGGTTGTCACCCAAGCTGGGCTCCAAACATGCCTTCCTCCTCCCATGGGAGATGGGGAGATCAATAGTTTACAGAAGGAATATAACATTGTTTGGTCTTTCACAGGAAGTGACACTACATATCTAGCATGATTAATGGGTGCTTCCTGAAAATGTTCTTAGCTTGAAAAATTTAAATTAATGCAGCTAGCACATCTATGGACTGTGACGTCTGTGTCCTAATTGAAGTGATTCCCCATTGTGGAGATCTCCACAAAGTGAACAAGACCACAAACAATTTGTACTATCTGTCCAAATCGAAGGCAATCGAAAAAAATATAAAAAATAATAAAAAAAATATATATATATAACATTTTAGTTTTTGGGCTAAGATATGCTTTAAGTAGTTTAGTGTTATTCAGTCAATGCATTGGTCATAACTGATAATTAAGCTTTCAAAATGGCTACTCTATTGGCTGCATGTTGACTAATACTGAATCTCCTCTCCAAATGGACACTGCTTCTCTGTGTGACGGCAAGTACACTTGAATCTGGTCATCTGTATCACCTTAGTCCCCTGTATGCAATTAGTCATTAACCAAGGCACACTAAACTCAAGCGGTATTAAGGGAAGGGTTGATCTGATACTAAAAAAGTCCTTTTGTCAGCTCTTATGAGGTCATACCCAATGGGGGGAAAAAAACATGTTATTTATTACATTGTCTTTATCACCAAAGTGGACTTTATGGCAATACAACATTTAAATCTCTATTTATATATTAGAGAGAGCGGACATTAATCACATAAAACGTATTCATTAACGGGGCTACATTATGATCACAATCCGAAGCAAGGGTTGTGATCGGATACAAAAACCAGATTTATATTTTTAGAGGAAAAATTAATTTTTAAAAATGTTTAACAAAAATGGAGGTCACCATTTCTGCTGGGATGCAATGTGACATGTCTACTTGAGAAGGTCAATCCATCTAAGTCTGCTAAGTCAACCCACCTCAACTAAAAAAAATGTATTGGTGGGATTTCTTCAACTAATTGTCAAAAACAACCCACCCACTGATAAGGGATTTACTGTCCTTTGTGGATTTTTAACAATGGTGGAGACCATAGAATGTGGGGAAGGGCATGCTAAGAAAATCAGTGGCAATTTGCCCTACCACCATCCACTCATATCTGTTTTAGATGGATCCAACCAATGAAATCCCCCGTCGTCTTCTCGCGCTGGGATGGATCGCTAAACGTGTCACTGTAGTTCCATCAGTCTGTGGGTTTTTTTTCAACCTGTTAACGCCTTTCTTGCCAGATCAACGAAACCAGACAGCTGTTTGCAAAGGATTCTGGGAGCGTCTCCAGTTAACATTGATGTTTACGAGTGTACCATATGTTGGGGGTGGGGGATGTCGGTTATATCATTATCGGGGTTCTGTGCAATATGGACATTATTTCTGTACCTTAATCGCAAAAAAAACAAAAAAATAATAATAATGTTGTCTGTGAAAAATAAAGAAAACTGCCGACTGTAAGTTTTTTTTTGCTTTTCTTGGGTTGTTTGTGTACAAGGATTATTTTGAAAGTGTTGACAGATTTCACAGTGCCGTAAAAGTGAATAATTATAAGCAGAAAGGACTTAGGGTTAGAGAAGATGGGGAGGGTTTGAGTGTATGTGTCTATCAATATATATATACATATATATATATAGCTATGTACGTACGTGCAAACACAGAGACACATAGATGGAGCGGGTGCGTGTGATCCCAGTAGCTGCGCTTATTAATCACTAATTACCAGTCCACACGTCCCCAGCTCAGCATCTTTCTGTAGTGATCCCAACAGCAGCTGTTCTGGTACAGCACACCATCCATCTTCCCCCCTTCCTCCTTTTCCTCCCTCCTCTCCATCTCTCCCTCCTTTTAAGCTCC